AGGCCCTGGGCCCCTCCCGCCCTCTGAGCTGTCAATCTCCCCGTGCCCTGCCCCTTCCGTAGCCCTCTGATGCCGGCCTCTCTCAGCCCAGCGCAGATTGGCTGAAGCTCTCAAGAGGCACCGCTCAGGGCTGAAGTCCAAGAACTGGGTCTACAAGGTGTGTGCTGGTCGTGGTGGGCGTGGGAGGAGGCTTACAGGGCCAATTTATGCCTGGGAATCGGGTGGGCTGAGCAGCAAGGGGAGGTGGGCAGGCTTGAGCACACCCGCTGTCCGATCCTCCTCGTTTCAGATCCTTGGGGGCTTTAACCCTGAGCACAAGGAGACCACCCCAGCGGCTGACAGCCCAGTCCGCCTCCCCGAGGCCGAAGCAGGACTCAAGTGTCTGATCCCAGAGGGGGCTGTGTGCAGAGGGGAGCTGCTGGGCTCCGGCTGCTTCGGCGTGGTGCACCGGGGGGTGTGGACGCTGCCCAGCGGCCAGAGTGTGAGTGTCCAGGGAGCCCACGTCATCTGGGGTACCTGGGGCAGCTGCCGCCTGTGTTCCCCTGGCTCTCTCTGCGGCGGCAGCCTGATGGTGCCTCTCCCTCCTCTCCCCCCAGGTCTCAGTGGCTATCAAGTCCCTCCGGGTGGGTCCTGAAGGTCCCGTGGGCACCGAGCTGGGGGACTTCCTGCGAGAGGTGTCCGTCATGATGAACCTGGAGCACCCACACGTGCTGCGACTGCACGGCCTGGTCCTGGGCCAGCCCCTGCAGATGGTGAGCAGATCCCAGGCTGCTGGGCAGCAGGAGGGTGGGGCGTGGGCCACAGCTCACGCGGCGCCGTGCCCCTGCAGGTGATGGAGCTGGCGCCCCTGGGCTCCCTGCACGCGCGCCTGACGGCCCCGGCCCCGACCCCCTTGCTGCCCGTGGCCCTGCTCTGCCTCTTCCTGCGGCAGCTGGCAGCGGCCATGACGTACTTGGGGGCCTGCGGGCTGGTGCACCGGGACCTCGCCACGCGCAACCTGCTTCTGGCTTCGCCGCGTACCATCAAGGTGGCCGACTTCGGGCTGGTGCGGCCGCTGCGCGGTCCCCGGGGCCGCTACGTCATGGGCGGGCCCCGCCCCATCCCCTATGCCTGGTGAGGACCGCCCCGTGGTGGGCGGGCTGCAGGCGGCGATTCGGAGGGCCCCGGGCTGGGATCCGAAGGGTGGCTGGGTCTGGGAAAGGCCTTCTAGGGACAAGGGGAGTGTTTGGGGTCTGTGAGGGGCCCATACCGGCCCGGCCCCATTCAGCTTCCGCTTTCACAGGTGTGCCCCAGAGAGCCTGCGCCAGGGAGCCTTCTCGTCCGCCTCGGACGTGTGGATGTTTGGGGTGACGCTGTGGGAGATGTTCTCCGGCGGCGAGGAGCCCTGGGCGGGGGTGCCGCCATATCTCATCCTGCAGCGGCTGGAGAAGGAACGCGCCCGGCTGCCCAGGCCTCCGCTCTGCTCCAGGGCGCTCTATGCCCTGGCCTTGCGCTGCTGGGCCCCCCACCCAGCTGACCGGCCCAGCTTTTCCCATCTGGAGGGGCTGCTCCAAGAGGTGGGGCCCTTACCCTCCCCAGCCATGCACAAGGCTGACGCACAGGGACGCCTGTGCTGTGCCCCGGGACCCAGCTCTGAACAGAAAGCCCCCGGGGGAGGCAGCTTTGGCGCTGCACAGGTGCAGGCTGAAAAGCTGGGGTCTGTGTCCCAGAGAAGAGCAGCAGCTGGCTGTGGGTGTTTGACCAGGAAGAAGGAGGTTCAGTGAGGGAGGGAGACATTTGTGATGAAGCTGCCGTAAGGTGGTTAGCCAAGGTTAGCTCCCTCACAGAGCGCGGGCCCGTGTGAGCTGCTGTGGCTAAGTGTTTGATGGACATTCGCTCAGTGGTGGGACCAGCGTGATTATCCCCATTTCACAGAAGGGGCAGTTGAGGCACTAACAGCTTTCGTGACTTAAGTCCCACAGCCGGGATGTGAACAGTGGATCTGACTTCAAAGCGGTTCCCTATTTCCTGTGCTCGGCTGTTTGAGTTCCCTCTTCCTTCCCAGGGCACCTGGAGTGTGGGGAGGGGAGTGACAGGCTGACTTTACGTGTCATTTTGCTTTGGCCTGGTGGTAGAAGGGCATAGACATAGGATCCCAATGAAGGCCGAGAGATGAGGAGGGGGGGGGCGGCTCAGACGGGCCCCCAGTTAGAGTGGTGAACACGGTGGCTCTCCTCTTAGTCCCTATTGGGAGAGATGGGGCCTTTCTCTGTTACTCCCTGAACCCTGGGCCGTGTCCAGCTTGGCGTGGGATGCAGGTGTACCATCCGCCCTGGGTGACAACTAGGGGACAGGGACGATCTGACCCCGGGCCCAGCACAGAGGACACACCTTGTATGGGCTTGACTGGGGGGCACAGGGGGCGTCTCCTTCCCTCCCTATTCCAATCACACCTCTGACCCAGGCCGCTTGCTCAGCCCCCCTTTCTTCCTGTCTCCACAGGCCTGGCCTTCTGAGGGACACTGTATAAGGGATGTCACAGAGCCAGGTGCCCTGCGGATGGAGCCGGGTGACCCCATCACGATCATCGAGGGCAGGTGACAGCCCTGTGTCTCCTGAGCATCCCCAGAGGGCAGCTCACTTCCTGCCAGTCTCCCTGACTCCTGGTCCTCTCTTGACTTCTTCCAAATCCTGACCTTGTCTTTTCCTCTCTCTCCACTGGTCCCCACGAGCGCCACTGGCGGCCCATAGAGCCCTTTTGTGCTAGAGAAAAAAGGCCTCCCTTCCTCCAGGCAGACACGGCTCCAAGGCCCACGGCTGGGGGAGCTGAGCGGGGCTGGACCCAGGCGGCACTTTCTCCCTGGGTCCCATCTGTTCACCAGGTCCTCTTCCCACAGCCCGGACTCTGCCACCTGGAAGGGCCAGAACGGCCGCACCTTCAAAGTGGGCAGCTTCCCAGCCTCGGCAGTGGCGCTGGCAGATGTGGGGGGCCAGCCAGCCCCCTACCCAGTCCACAGAGGCCCCCCTGCCCGGGGAGAGCGCCGCCGGGGAGTCACAGACGGGTGAGGAGCTGAAAGGGTGGGCAGCGGAGCTGGGCTGGGGGCACCGAGTTCATCAGCTGCTCTGGAGTGGAAGCTGGAGGTGAGGCGGCACTTGCCTCCCAGCCGCAGCGCCAACCCCGTGCCTGGGAGCCTGAGTTTCTTCGGGAGGGGACATTACCACGTGGGGGTGGGGATGAACTGGTGGATCCCTCTCCAACAGGGACAGAGAGAAAGCAAAGCTCCGGGATGTGCCCCCAGCCCGGGGCCAGAGAAAGAACGTGCCCCTGCAGAGGATGAAAGGTGGGTGTGGAGGGGCTCCGGGTCTCGGGGCAGGAACACCCCTCTGTTCTGTCCTCCTGCCCTGCAGCCATGCCTCGGCTGGGACTTCCTTCCCCTGGTTCTGCCTGTTACCACTGTACTTTACAATCTTGAGGAATATGGAGCGCCCCCTGTCTTCCCTGCTGACCAGCATCCCCCTACTCTGGCTCGAGATTTTGTCCTTTGGGCCCTCAGCAGCCTGGGTCTTGAAGTTCATTTGCAGTCCTGTCTTATTGCCTCACCTAATACATGCAGCACCCCACGGGCAGGGTGGACTAGCTCAGCCGCCAGCGCTGGCTAACCCCCCCAGCCAGCCAGAGCAGGCAGAGGCAGGGCCTAGCACCTGGGCCGCCTCTCAAGTTGTTTCTTTCTTAATTGTGCAGGCATCTCCAAGAGTCTGGAGTCGGTTCTGTCCCTGGGTCCTTGCCCTACAGGGGGTGGTTCAAGCCCCCCTGAACTTCGACATGCCAGAGCTGTGCCCCAGGGACTCCCAGTCCTGCCTCCACGCCCACTCATCCCCTCCGGCTCTTCTCAGCCTAGCCAACCCCCCAGGGAACGGCCTCCCTGGCCCAAAAGAGACCCTCCTCACAATCATCGCACAGGGGGGCCTGGAGCCGGCAAAGCTGCTGTCCCCCCTGGAGGCCTCTTGCCCGACCAGGAGTTTCAGAGGAAGATTTCAGAGGTGAGGACTCACTGAACTGACCTGCTGTCCAGAAGGGGCCGCAGGCTGGGGCGGGGCTGAGTGAGCCTTTGTCCCCCGCAGGTGGAGCTGGGCGTTCATGGGGTCACCTACCAGGAGTGCCAGGCGGCTCTAAGAGCCACCGGCGGAGATGTGGCTTCTGCCATCCAGAACCTCAAGGTAAAGCCAGACCCCTCTCTATAGAAGTTCCTTTCTCTCCTGCCGCTGCTCCCTGGCACTCAGCTGCTCTCCCTCTGGTCCTCCCGCAGGTGGACCAGCTGTTCCACATGAGCAGCCGGTCGAGAGCTGACTGCCGGCGCATCCTGGAGCACTACCAGTGGGACCTGTCAGCTGCCAGCCGCTACGTCCTGGCCCGGTCCTGAGCTCTGCTTCCTGGGGCAGGCATGGGAGACCTGGGCCCTCGGGGTTGGCCGTGCAGGAGGAGCCAGCAGAACCGAACGAGGTCCTCACAGGGGCAGAGTTCCCCACCTGCGGAAAGCAGGTGCAGGAGGTGCCCAAGGGAGCCCAGGGTTGGGCACGGAGGGGGCGTCTCTTCCCTACCCTGCCCATGGCCTCTGAAGGCTCAGGGTCCCTTGGCGGGGCCAAGGAAGTGTGCTCTGCTCGCCACATTCCCAGAGAGGAGGAGGACCTGAAGGAAAAGAACTGCACATCAGACCCAGGGGAGACCGTTCCCCTTCAGAGAACAACCAAGTGGCTGTCCGGAGCCACCCTGAGCTACCTCACTGACTCTGGGGGCGGCCACCTGGGAGGTGGAAGCAGCCGTCGGGACTTGGGGCCCCAGTTGCCCAGGTTTGGTCCAGCGCCATTGTGGGTGATGGGAACTGCTCTCTTGGACGCAAGGGCATTCGATCCTGGCAGCAGGGACCACGAGAGGGGCCAGCCCCTGCCCCAGCCCAGTAGTTCCCTTTGCTCTACCTCCCATCAACTCTTCGCCCCTCCCCCATCACATACATCTTCCAATGTCCAAAAAGTTACAAAGTGTTTATGAATATAACATACAAAGATGCAGCCTCCTTCCTAGGGCAAGGCAAGGAAGGGGTGGTTAAATAAGGCACAGGAAGCTGCAGGAAGCACCGCTCTGGGCAGGGCCCAAGGGGGAAAGGAAGTTGGCGCTGGGGCCCAGCCCTGACACCTGCCGGCGGGGGAGGTGGAGATCCCCTCCAAGTGCCAGGGTCCGAGGCTGAGCTAATTGGCAAAGCTGACGAAGGAGAGGGGTGGCCGCGTCGGCTGTCTGCTGCTGCTTGCCCTTACTCGGCCATGCCCTGTCGTAAAACCCCAGAGTCTCAGGTGCCAAAGGCCTTCGGAGGGCTTGGAGTGGGTGGGAAGTTTGAAAGCCAGTAAGCTTGTGTGCTGAGGGGCTGCTGGGAGACCGGGGCGGGGGTGGCAGGGACGGGTTCTCATACACACCCTGCTGTGGGGGCCCCAGGCGGAGGAGGCCAGGGAGCAGGGGCGGGGTGGGGCACCGTGACCCCAGCCTCTCCGTCCCCTGCAGTATACTTGGAAGAAAGGGGGCTGCTGCTCGGGAGGGCGGGGCCGGGCCCGCAACCGGCTTCAGTTCTGGTAGAGGTGGTACTTCCCTCACCCTAGGGTAGCCTCTAGCTGGTGATGGCAGAGGGCCCCGCGCCTCCTCGCTTCTCGAAGAACATGTAGTCCTGCAGGGAAGCCGCCATGAACGGGGGGCTGGGCCAGGTCTGGAACCACCCCCTCCCCTATACATGACATCCGTCCCTAACCCACCCCTAGTGAGAAGCCAGCGGGTGCACAGAGATTCAATAAGGGATGGCAAAGGACTGGCAGGAGGAGAGGGGCAGGGGCAGGGGCAGCCAACTCACGATGAGAAACGTGGCTCCCAGCAGCACAGCCTTTAGCTTCACGTCCAGATCCAGTGGGAACTGCAGACCGAAGTCGTCTGCGTCCGTGAGCGCCTCTCGGAGCAGCCCCCCCCACTGCTTGCTGATGCGGCCCACGCTGCGGGACTCGTCCTTGGTCTTCACCTGTTGGGGGAGAGGGGAGGACCCTACTGGGAGCATGCACCCCATCCCAGTGGCCTGCGGACACCCATCCTGGCCAACACGGATGAATCATGGGAGCTCTACACTCAGTGAATCCCCTCAACCGTCTGTGGGACAGCTGGGGAGACCGGGCACCCTGGGTCTCACTGTGAGTCTGGATTCAGACCCAGTCCCTTCCTTCTAAGGACCCTGCATGACAACATGTGCGGTGCGAGAAATGGGAGGTGACACAGTCTCATCCCCTTAGCGTGAGGCTGGTTGCTGTCTGCTTTGGTTGTCAGTGTCTCTGCTGCCTCCCTCCAGGTGGTGCAGTTGGCGCCCCACACGCAGTAGCCTGGCGGGGAAGACAGAGGAGGCTGCCGAAATGCTGCCTCGTTTACCAGCCACGTGGGCCCTGGAAGCCTGCATCTGCCTGGACGGCTACTTTTTCCCTAAGGTGGGCCCTGCCCAGCACTGACCGCAAGCCTCATGTAGAGGGGAGCCAGGCCCTGCTACAATAGGTGGTGACTCACAGCGACTTCCTGGTCCTTTTCCTGTGCCCATTATCCAGTAACTAGAACCAGAGCGACTTCCCTGTGTGTCTGCTACCCCCCGGCCCCACTTTCCTACAGCTCTGGGACCCTTCCTGCAGCCCCGTCCCAGCCGGCGCTGCAGTCCCGAGCAGGCAGCCCATTCATAATTATGTAAAAGAGACACTAGGCTTGTGAGAACCCCACGATCTGCCCATTCCCATCCAGAGAACACCCAGTGCTCGCTCTCCCAGCTGGTTCCCATCATGGAGCCTCCCTCTGGCTATTAACATGACTCATTTTAAAGAGCAACCCTAGGTGAAGCGCCTCACCAGACGCGCTGGCAAGTCTGCTGGATCACGCCCGTTGTCTGCTTTATCTGCACAGGGACTTAGGCCTGGGGAGTCTCTGCAGTGCCTCTGCCTTCCAGAAACCAAGGCGCTTCCCATGCCTGACTCTGAGACCCTCACCACGTAGGCTCTCAAAACTGGGGCTAAGGGCATCGCGTGGGCTCCAGGCTGCAGGGAGCGTTTGGACCTCCCGATCGGCAGGGCAAGTCAGGATGTTAAATGCAGGCATGCTTCAGGTGTTAGGCTCACAAACTCAAGCCCAGCCCATGGCCAACGCCCCCGCCCCCGCCCCACCCCACCCCCCAACGGGTCTGGCTTTAGAGTTCCACTCCCACCCCTAATGCAGGGCTGTCAGTAGCCATCAGCACCCACACTATGCTCTCCTAACACCACAGGACATCCCATTTCTAAATGGAAGTGTGGCAGGTCAGGGTCTTGAGCTTACTAAACCCATCCTGCCTCCTGGAAGCTGCCACCTTGGTCTGTGCAGGTCCCAGCTCCCCTTACGGCTGATACCTCAAAGTTGGTGTCTGTGCCACAGCCACAGGTCCAGCAGGGTCCCACTACTCGCAAGACTGTCTGGCGATCCGCATCCTGGATGGAGAACTTGGGGAGGAAGGGATGCCAGGTCTGTAGCACGTGGCCGATGGTTGTGCCTGGTGGAGCCTGTACCTCCATCTGGAGTGGGAGGCAGACAGCGTCACCGCCAAACCGGGGCGCCCTATCCCAAGCTCCCACGGGTCCCAGCTCTGTCTACTTATCTGCCTCCCAAACCGTCCAGCTCCCGCGGGAGCCAGGCCTCCCCATCCCCTACTGCCCACCGGCCCCTACTGCCCACCGCCCTTCAGAACCTATCCCCAGGCCTGTTCCTCCCCGCCCACCTCCTGGAGGCCGCAGGGGCAGCAGCTGCAGCCACAGTGGAGCGGACGGATCAGGCGCAGCACCTCCCTGTCCCCAGGGTCTGCCAAGCGGACACGCAGCGGCCGGCGGGCGCCACAGCACAGACGGGCGCAACAGTTGCTCTCCTCAGCTGCCTGACCCAGAGGCTGCCCAGCCCCTGAGCGCAGCTCGTACCGGTTACAGGTCTCCCAGCCTAGGAACGCTGTCAGGGGTGACACACTAAGGCCTGGGCACCTCGGCCACCCAGGAGCCCGCCAGCCCTGCCAGGGTGGGGAGGACCAACCTACTCCTCCTCCCACTTACTTTCCACTCGTTCAGCCTTCTGGTGAATCAAGATCTGATCGATCTGGAAAGAGCAGGGGCAGCGCTGACATCAGCTGGCCGGCCTCCATCCCGGTCCCCTCCCTCCTTCCCCCTTACCTGTACCAGGAATTCGAGGCCAGCAGGCACCCCGGGCAATGGCAAGAAGGGGGCAGCAGGCCCCGGGGCCACCGGGCCCGGCGAAGGGAACACAGCGAAGCCGGGTGCAGGGGCGGGCACCTGTGCGGGCACTGGTGCCGGCCCGGGCCCAGGGTGCAGCGCCGGCTCCGGGTATCCAGCCGTCACAGGGTAGGGAGGTGGGGGCGAAGGCGCATAGCCCGTGGGGGGCAGGTAGCCTGTGGGGGGCAAGGGTAGATGAGGAAAGTATCCGCGGCACCGTCCCCCTTATCCCTCAGCCCCCTGCGCGGCGCGGCAGAGCAGAGACGGGGTGGGCAGGGGCAGGGGCAGGGGAGCAGGGCGGCGGCTCCCCAGGAGGAAGGGAGAGGCCCACGCGGCCAGTCCGGGCACATTCCTGGTGGATGCGCTCCACACCCGACACCCAAGTCCGGGGGGGATAACGGAGACCCCAGCCTCGCGCCCCCTTACCTGCCATGGAAAGGGACGGGAGCTCGCGGGGTAAAGGTGTCCCGGCGGATTAGTTCTGGAAGCGGAGGCAAGCTCGGAGACAGCCAGACAGACACAGAGACAGACACAGAGACGGACAGGCAAACGCGAGGACGCAGCTGTGCCTGACGCCGGCCCAGGGTCTCTAGGGCGGCGCCTCTGACTCGGGGAGAAACCGAAAGTGTCAGCGGGCGGGGCAGGGTACCTGGGACCCTGGATTCCCTCAGGGGCCCCAGAACCGCCCCCTCCCTTTGTTCTCCCATTCTCCGCGGGGGCGGCTGTTGGCGGACGGCAGCACGGACGGAGCCGCGGTCGGGCCGACGGCGCGATCTCGGCCGAGGTCTCCCTGACCCCTCTGTGCCCCCGCTCACCTGGAGCCCCCAGAATCGTCGGGGTGCCGCGCGCTCCGCGGCTCCCAGGAGCTGATGGAGGCGGGCCCAGGACCCGACCCCGCCCCTCGACCCGGCCGGGCCCCGCCCCCCGGCCCGCGCGGCGCGGCTGCGCGGAGAAGGCCCCTTGCCTGCCCCGGGCCGCGGACCTTGCACCCAGAGCTCTGCCCCGCGGCCCCGGCGTCCCCGCCCCTTCCGTCCCGGTTACAGATGCCGGGGAACAGCGGCCAGGGACCGCGACCAGCCGGAACGCGGCCCCGCCGTGCCCTGGAGGCCCGCGGGCGCGCGGTGCTCGGCGCCCCTGGCCGGGAGCGAGGCCGCGTGCGCTCCCGCCGTCCCGCCGCGCTGGAGCCTGGGCTCCTCCTCCCAAGGGCGGCTCGGGCCTCGCTGACGCAGCGGAACGAACACCCTTCGCTCTCATTCCTTGGCTTCCAGCGCTGGTGCCTGGCTCCCTTTTCTCCCTCCCCGGGGCGACTTGTCTCCCTGACACAGCGGAGACCCCCACGGGCGCCCCCGGCCACAGTGTCAGTAGGAGTGAGGGGAGCTCGGGGTTCCGAGAAGGCCTCCCCCGCGGAGAGCAGTTCTTTGTTTGGGTCCTGCGGCTATGGGGTCTGCGTAGACCGAGAGGAGCCAGAGAGGAGTTTGGAGAGGGAGGGCCAAACACACGCGCAAGGGCAGCAAGGAGGCAGCCGAGAGATTTTAAACTGCAGCAAGAGAATCGGATTTGTTCTGTAGAAAGAGGATTCTCTGGATACTGTGGGGCAGCGCTTGGTGTAGGGCTTAAGACACCTGGGTTCGAGTCCCGGCCGCTACTTCTGGTTCCAGCTTCCTGCTAATGCAGACCCTGGGAGGCCGCGGTGATGGCTCAATTAATTAGTTGGGTTCCTGACACCCACGTGAGAGATCTGGGTTGAATTCCCAGCTCCTGGCTTCTGCCTCCGTGGCCATTGCAGATATTTGGAGAGTGAGTCAGAGAATGGGAGCTCGATGGAAAAAATAAACAATTGACCCCCCCACACACACACTGTGGAGAGAAATGGGGGTGCCCAGGGTGGGCTCTTGGCAGTAAACTGGGGAAAGAATGGCTGTGCTAGTGGTGTGCAGAGGCTCCTGGCAAACTTTAGAGATATTTAGATCCTAACATAGAGCTTGGTTGGAGATGAGCAGTTGAGGACCCCAAGTGGCTGCCTAGTGACCAGGCAGTAGAAGTGTCACCCCCAAGATGAGCAGATCTGGGGGCCTCCACCTGCCCCTATGTCCATGTCCATGTCCATGTCCATCTGGATTGGCCCTGGCTTCCCTGTCCCCAGGCTGTCCAGCTCCTCCCACAACTTCAGTCATCAGCGACTCCAGACCCAAATGCCTGTCCTTTCCGCCAGCATGCACTGAGACTCTGCATGGCCCAAACCATGAGTCAGCCTCCAACAAAATACACACACACATGCACACATACGTGTGCACATGCGCGCACACACACACACACACACGAACACGCACGCAGAAATCGAGTCACCCGGGGAAAGATTTAGTGAACGACTACTAGATGGCAGATATTTGAAGCAGCAGGCGTGCAGAACAACCAAATTCCTGACCTCCTGGGGCTTCCATTCTATTGGAGAAGGGACAGAAAAATAAGGAAAAAATAGGTGGGAAATCAGTTGAGTGCCATGAAGACAGAGCAGGACAAGGGAATTAAGGAGTGGTGGGCACGGGGTGCACACTAGGAAGGTGTCTCCGAGGTGACAAACGAAAATCTAAAGGGCATGTGTGGGCGTCCAGTCTGCATGGCTGAAAGCATTTATCGCTAGAATCAGCTGCCCCTGTGCCACATCAGAGTGCTGGGTTCCGTGCCTGCCTCGGACTACGCACTCCAGCTTCCTGCTAATGCACACCCTGGGAAACCACAGCGTGGCTCAAGTGACTAGGTTCCTGCCACCCACAGCAACACCTGGACTAGTTCCCAGGTCTTGCTTTGGCCCTGGCCTAGGCTTGGCTATGGGGGCATTTTGGGGAATCAACCAATGGATGGGAGCCTCTCAAATAAACACATGAATAACTTTTTATAAGATTTGTTTATTTGAAAAGCAGAGTGATGGGAAGAAAAGGAAGAGAGATCATACATCCGCTGACTCACTCCCCAAATGGCTGAAATGGCCGGGGCTGGGCCAGGCTGAAAGCAGGAGCCTGAAGTACCATCTGGGTCTCCCACATGGATGGCAGGGGCCCGGGCACATTAGTGGGGAGCTGGATCAGAAATGAAGCCGCCAGGACTCACACTGGCACTGATATGGGATGCTGGTGTTGCAGGAAGCAGCTCAGCTCAGCTGCCACTATGCTGCGGTCAAAATAATGTTTTTAATTTAAAAAATAAAAGGGTCGGCTGTGGCATGGTAGGCTAAGCACCTACTTGTGGCACTAGAAGAGGCTGATCCTCCTCCAATCTGCTGTGGCCTGGGAAAGCAGAGCAGGATGGCCCAAGTGTTTGGGCCCCTGAACCCACATGGGAGACCCAGAAGAAGCTCTAGGCTCCTGGCTTCGGCCTGGCGCCATCCCCAGTCACTGTGGCCATCTGGGGAGTGAACTAGCAGATAGAAGCTCTCTCTCTCCCCCCAACTCGTAAATGCCTGGATCCTACTTCACATCAACCAAATCTGAATGATCTTGGGTGAGGTGCAGACTTAGGAACTTTTTGCAAATACCTTGAGTCCTGGGTCCACTCCTGATTTCAAACCCTCCTGCTAATTTGCACCGCGGGAGGCAGTGAATGGCAGCTCCAGTAGCAGGGCCCCTGCCCCCAACCTGGGAGACCCGGATTGAGTGCCTGGCTCCTGGTTTTCAGTTTGACCCGGTCTCAGACATTGTAGGCATTTGAGAAGTCAGCCAGAAGATGAGAGATTGTTTTGTGTCTCTCTGCCTTTGAAAAAATAATAACTAAAAATTTAAAAATAAAAGACAAATCCTCTTTCAGGCTGCCTCGTCAAGAGTAGGCTATAGGGGCCAGTGCTGTGGCATGGAAGGTTTAGCCTCTGCCTGCAGCACCGGCATCCTATATGGGCACTGGTTCAGGTCCTGGCTGCTCCAGTTAAGATCCAGCTCCCTGCTAATGCACTTGGGAAAGCAGCGGAAGATGTTTCAAGTGCTTGGACCCCTGCACCTGCGTGGGAGACCCGGAAGAGGCTCCTGGCTCCTGGCTTCAGCCTGGCCCAGGCCTGGCAAGTGTGGCCATTTAGGGAGTGAACAAATGGCTGGAAGATTTCTCTTTCTCTCCCTCTTTCTCTGTATTTCTGCCTTTCAAATAAATAAACATTTTTTAAAAAAAAAGATTTATTTGGGACTGGTGCTATGGCATAGCTGGTAAAGCCACCACCTGCAGTGCCGGCATCCCATATAGGTGCCGATTCAAGTCCCAGCTGCTCCACTTCCAATCCAGCTCTCTGGTATGGCCTGGGAAAGCAGTGGAAGATGGCCCAAGAGCATCTCCTTCTCTCTCTGTGTAACTCTGCCTTTCAAATAAATAAATCTTTTTAAGAAAGATATATTTATTTATTTGAAAGGCAGAGTTACAGAGCCACTGGCACAGAAATAGAAATCTTCTATCCGCTGGTTCACTCCCCAAATGGCCCCAGTGGCCAGAGCTGGGCCAATCGGAAGCCAGGAGCCCGGAGCTTCTTCCGAGTCTCCCACATGGGTGCAGGGGCCCAAGAATTTGGGCCATCTTCCATTGCTTCCCCAGGCCACAGCAGAAAACTGGATTGGAAGTGGAACAGGCAGGACTCAAACCAGCACCCTGGATCAGAAGTGGAGCATCTGGGACTTGAACCAGCACCCATATGGATGATGGAATTGCAGGCAGCAGCTTTACCCACTACAGCACAGTGCCGGCCCCTAAATAAATCATTTTTAAAAAATTGGCCGGCGCCACGGCTCACTAGGCTAATCCTCTGCCTTGCGGCGCCGGCACCCCGGGTTCTAGTCCCGGTTGGGGTGCCGGATTCTGTCCCAGTTGCCTCTCTTCCAGGCCAGCTCTCTGCTGTGGCCAGGGAGTGCAGTGGAGGATGGCCCAAGTACTTGGGCCCTGCACCCCATGGGAGACCAGGATAAGTACCTGGCTCCTGCCTTCAGATCAGCGCGGTGCGCCGGCCGCAGTGCGCCAGCCAAGGCGGCCATTGGAGGGTGAACCAAGGGCAAAGGAAGACCTTTCTCTCTGTCTCTCTCTCTCTCACTATCCACTCTGCCTGTAAAAAAAAAAAAAAAAAAAATGTAGGCTGTAGATAGGCAAGGGTGGGAGGCAGTCCCTACAGAACTCTAGGTGCGGTATGATGGTGGCTTGAATCAGAGGCCGGGGCAGCGATGATGGAGGTGTAAGAAGCAGATTCTGGGTATGTATTTGAGCCGACGGGACTAGATGACATTTGCAGGTCTGATGTAAGGAAGACAATTCAACAGTGACTCAGGCTTAGTCCAGGAGACCCTCTCTACAGTATGGTTGCCACCCTTACTCTGTTCGGTCATTTCCTGCTTGCCCTCCCAGTCCTGGGTTCCAGGCACTCCTGTTCTCACTCTGGACTTGTCCCCACAACATAGTCCTGTCCCTTTTGTCCCTGGCAAATACCTATTCATGCTGAAAACCCAGCGAATGGACCGAAGTCTTATGGGTACCCAAAGGCAAAACAAGCTCACTTCAGTATCTACTGGTACCACTGAACACGTGGCATCCAATTATCTTTTTCAAGGGTCTGTCTGCATGCTCAAATCTGAATTCCTTGATTAGCAGAAAGAAAGAACTCAGCTGTGAGAGCTGGACAGAAGAGACTGAGTCCCAGATTCCCCCTGCAAGACATGGAACGAGTTACTTCCCTCCCATAGCTCCCCTTTCCACGAAACCGCAGGGCTGTTGAGAGGACCTGACCCACTGCTCAGGAACTGCCACAACTCTCACCCCTATGAATGCTGCCTTCACATCTGTCTTGTCCTTGTCACCCTTGAGGCCTTCTCCACCCGGTCTTGTTCTTGATTCTAGCGGGCTAAGGCCCCCACCCTGAATGGCTTTTGCTTGAAGGCTTATGAACCCAGTAATGCAACCTGGAGCTCCCACACTTGGCCTTATGCTCCTTTCACGTTAACTAATCTAAGCCGGCCCTGGAAACACACGCAGGTAAGGTGAAGGCGTCAGCTCGCAGGCTCCTCCCCCTGCCTTGTGCTGCTCACCTGCTGGCTGAGCACGTGTGTCCTGGCTCTGGGAGGCGTGCTGACCTTTTCTCTCATCTACGAGCAATAAACACAGTCTGCTCACCATTCTGGTATGAGTGTCCCTTGGTGTGCCGCACCTGACAACGCCAAATCTTATTGCAAATCACAGCAGTAACCATAGGGGCCAGTTATCAAGCAGGCCTTATTTTTCTGGGTTCCCCAAGAGTCCAGCCCACTGGCAAGATCAAAGCTAAGGCAACTGGGGATCCCATTACCTGCAGGGTGGCCATTTCAGAGGCTTGGGGTCTCCTCCACCTGGAGGTTCCCTTTGGGCCCTAGAAGCCACCTGAGATTAAGGATAAAGATTCAGCAAGAGCTCCAGCCAGGGAGGTGGGGGCCTGGGGATCCCGCTGTGGTTCTGCCACTGAACTTTTGGGCCATTCTTGAGGTCCCCTTGGAAGCTTCTTCTTGTGAATATTTATTTATTACACACAACACAGAGATCTCATCCACTGGTTCACTCTCCGAATGCCCACAAATGTCAGGGTTGGGCCAGGCCAGGCAAAAGTCAAGAACTGGAAGGCCAGTGTTGTAGTGTAGCAGGTTAAGCCACACCTGTGAGGCCAGCATCCCATATGGGTACTGGTCCTGGCTGCCCCACTTCCAATCCAGCTCCCTGCTACGGCCTGGGAAGGCAGCGGAAAGTGGCTCAAGTACTTAGGTCCCAACACCCCAACATCCCCAATTGGCCACAACAGCCAGAGCTGTGCTGATCCAAAGCCAGGAGCCAGGAGTTTCTTCCAGGTCTCCCATGCGGGTGCAGGGGCCCAAGGACTTGGGGCATCTTCTACTGCTTTCCCAGGCCATAGCAGAGAGCTAGATTGGAAGTGGAGCAGCCAGGACTCGAACCGGCATCCATATGGGATGCTGGCACTGCAGCCACAGTGCCAGGCCCTCTCTCTCTTAAAATGTTGAATCCTTACCCTTCCTCCTCCAAAAGTTTGGATGAACAAAGACTCCAAAGTTTTTCATTTGCCTTTCTCTTTTAATTCCCTTCCTGTTCCAGTTGCCACCCTCTCCCCCCAATTACTCGGAAAGGCCAGAAATTCCACAAAGGGAGCTCAAAGAGCCAAGGCAAGCCAGCCCAAGAGTAGCAGGCTCCCTCCCACAGGGCCCAAATTCTGGATGCTGGGGTCTCCGCTCAGAGCCTGGTAGTAAAAGCTGGTGCAGAACAGGGTGGTTCCGGAAGCCAGCAGCAACCCGGCCTGAGGAGACACAGGGCAGATGCCCACTTGTAAGGTCGGGGCTGGGGGAGGGCAAGAGGGTGGCGCTGGGGCAGGGTTGGGCCGGGGGACACATTACCCAGAGTGGCTTTCTGCAATGGGGCACACCTAACAGGGCCAGGCTGTGTATGAAGTGGTGTTTGTTGGCTTTGTCAAAGAGCTGTAGCAAAAAGAAACAAGGGGGCACGTCCTAAGGAGTCACACACACACACACACACACACACACACGGGGTCAAAGGCCAGTCCCGCCATCTCACCCTCCCTCGGGCACCCACACCTCAGATTTCCCGAGCCTGGAGCATTCCACACCCTCCTCCCTACATCCCGTGGACACCCCAGCCTTTATGCCTTCGTAGGCGTGCGAATCGGGGAGCCCCGGCTACTTCACCTCCTTCCCGTAGGCATCGGGGAATTGGGCGCCTGTGGAGAGAAGCAAAGGTTACCGGTCCCGGTGTCAGCCCCGACCGTCCTCCATTCCGGGGCCGGTGAAGGACTCCCCTCGCCCCTCGGGGAGCCGCCAATGGGTGGAAACGCGCATTGGGCATGCTGAGAATCAACTGAACCCGGCCGAGGGGCTTTTCAAGGGTTTAGGGTCCACCTCTGTCTCATAGGCTCTTCCCCTCCACCAGACCCCAGAGGTCGCCCCCAGTACTGTCCCAAGCTGCGTCCCTCAGCCCCCTGACCGTGGGCCCCGTAGGTGGCCAAGCCTAAGGCCCCAGCTCCGGACAAGGCGCCCAGGCGGCGAAAAGCAGCCCCGAGCCGGGCCATGGCTGTGGGTGGTCACGCGCCTGAGGAACACCGCCCAGGCCACCCAAGAGGCCAGCCAATCCCGATCGCCCATGCAAATAAAGTCCACAGGTGCCCAATCCGGACCGTGTTCATTTTAGCGTTCAGGTCCTCACCCGGGTATTTTCGCCTTTGTAAAACCGCTGCTGAATGGAGCAGACGTCTGGCGGGCGGAGAAACCAGAACCAATTAGGAGCGGAGGAGCGGAGCAGTAGGGGGCAGGCTTGCGGAGGGCGGGACCAGAGGATTTGCGTCACGGATTGGCCCACTTTCCAAGTTGATCGCCTCTTTGAGCCACCCCTCCCAACTCCGGCCAGTTTCCAAAGATCCCGGTCCCCACGCAAAGTTCCGCCCCTTTCCCCACAGGCTCCTCCTGTTCAGCTTCAAGCCAGACCCACTCCCAAAAAGAGGCAGCCCCACGGATACCCAAACCCCACCCATCGCCGTTAAATCCCGCCCACCATGCGATGGCTCCTCCTTCATGCCCCAAAGGCTCCGCCTCCTTCAGATGATGCCCCACCCCCTATGGTTCAGCACCCCCCCCCCACAGCTACTGCCCAGAGGGTGGGAGATCGGGGGCGGGGGTGTCTCCACCCTGCCTCGGCCGGCTACGTCCATCCGTCCGTCTGTCCACTCCCGCCCCCTTCCACCGTTTGCAATCCCCCCACACTCCGGAGGGCGGGCGGGCAGGCGGGCGCGAGCGAGGGGTGTGCGCCGCTCTCTCGGCAGGGGGCGGGGGAGGCGGCCGCGCGGTGACGCGCGGGGCTGCTGCGGCTGCTCCGCCGGCGGATCATCACTCTCGGGCTGGGATGGACGCGGGGCGGGCGGGCCCTGGCGCGCGGAGCCAGGAGTCCGGGCCTCCTGGCTGCTGAGCGTCCCCCGGAGCCTCCCCCAACCCCCCGCCTGGCCTTCCAGGAGCCGTGCCGACCCCTGCCTCGGGGCTCCGGACTCGGCTCCCCGCCCTCCTCCGACTCCCCGGACCTCCCCCTCCCGCCCGCCCTCGGGATCGACTAGATCCCTCCCCCTCCCCGAGGATTCCGGCTGGATCCCTGCCCCTGCACCGCGGATCCTGCGCTCCGGGGCCCTGGGGCCCTGGGGATTGCCGTGGACTCCTCCTCCAGCACCCGATCCCTTAGGATCTTCCTTCTGGACCGCCTTCTGGTCCCTCGAAGCCAGCCCACGGAGCCAGTGGATCCCCAATCCAATCCTGTCCCGTTGCTTCCTCCCTGCTCTGCCGTCCCCACTGCGGGGTTCCCTGTTCTCGGGCTCTCCCTGACCCCATCCCCTAGCTCTCCTTTTCCCAGGGATCGACTGGATCCCGGCCCCGCCCCCCGGGGCTGGGGCGATCCCCCTCCCCCGCCGGGTGAGGCGCTGCGGGCGGGGGCTGGGCCTGCGGGGCCGCGGGGGCTTGGAGGCCGCCGCCCCCCTCCCCAAGCCTGTCCGCCCCCCACTCGGAGCCCTGGATGGAGGCACCACGGCCCCAGGGCTGAGCCAGGTAGGAGCTATGCTGGGCCGGGTGGCGGGGGCTGCGTGGGGGTCCGCTGGGGTCTCCTTCTCCCCATCTCCCTCCCTGCGCCTGGTTTCCCCCAGCCTGCTCTGTCTGCGTGTCTCCGCCTAGGGATGCTCTCGCGGTGTCTCTACGTCTTGGTCTCTTTGTCTCTGCCTCTCTCCAGCCCATGAATGATCCTTTGAATGGGCCCACAGACCCCGTGTGTTCCCATCTCCCCCTCCCCCTCCTTCTCCTCTTCCCGGCCAAGCCATTTTCCCCACTGCAGGAAAGGGGGGGCCTGCGGCCTGAGCCCCCGTCCCTCAACTCTCCCGGGCTGGGGGGGAGTCAGGCCTGGGCAGGATCGGAGAGAGCAAGGCAAAGGCATGGAGAGAAGGAGGGGGGAGCAAGATGTGGCAGACAGAGATGGGGAGAGAAAATGGGGGAGACAGAGCTGGGGAAAGACTGGAGGGAAGAGGGGGCTTGAGGGAGAAATCTGGGGAAGATATTTGGAAGGGGGGGGTTGAGAAACACCAAGGAGAGAGATGTAGAAGAGGGAGATGGAAAAAGACCAAGGGGCGAGAGCCTGGAGCAAGCTGGAGCTGGAGCAAGCTGCAAGAGGCCGAGGCAGAGAGGAGAGAGATGGGGGGGGGGGTGTGCTGCGGGGGCTCCAGGGGGAGGGCTGGAGGGACAGGCGCTGGCTGGAGGGGTGGAGGCCAGGGGCCCAAAGTACCTTAAGGGAGAGGGGGTGACAGTCTGACCGTGCTGGTGGGAGGGGGAGGGGGCAGTAAGGCCATGGTGGCTGAGCCTGGCCTGGCATAGGAAGAGGAGATGGGGGGGGGGGAGCCAACCCCGAGCCCCCTCCAGGTGATGGAGGAGCAGGAGCTTAGGAGGGCCTGAAGAGGGGAGGGCATGACTGGGTATGAGTGGTAAGGATTCCTGTGTCCTCATCTCTGGAATAAATTGACACCTGCAGAGAGCCACCCGCGGGCTGGCGCCTGGCTCCGAAAACCCCGCGTCAGCAAACAGCTCCGGCGGCTGGTGGGGGCGCGGGGTTGGGGGGGGGCTTGCTGAAATGACCTGGGTACCTGCCCCTTCAGCCTGATCTCTTGCCCCATCCTGCCTCTGTTGCCCTGAGCACCCAGGGATCAGAGCAGCAACTGTGGGGGGCTGGCAAGGGGAAGGGGAGGTGAATGGATGGGATGCAAGGAGAAGAAAACTGAGGTTTGCCCCCCAGGACTTGGGTCAAAATGCTGTGCAAAAAAATGAGAGGTGTCTGGGGTCCAATGCCGTTCAATATTGTGGGAGGGGGCAGTCGGTAGGCTCGTGGGACCCCTCCCCAAGCCTGCCTCAGCATCCCTTCTCCAGAGGCTGGTCACTAGGGCTAGGTTCTGCTTGGCCAACAAGGAGGGCAGGAAGCAGATCTTTTAGGGTGGTGGATGCCCCCAGTCTCCCCCCCCCTCGGTATTTATACTTTTTCCTCGGTGCTAAGGCTGGGGAAACTAGCATTCTGACTCACGCCTCTGCCCTCCCCCTCACGCCCTGAATGGACCCCACAACCAAGCCAGTCCCTTCCCCTGTTCCTCCAGACCCCCCCTCCAGGGTTAAAGCTGCAACCCGTTGCCGAGGCAACATTGCGGGGCAGCATCCCGTCGCCCGGCAACCGGCTGCAGGATCACGCATCTGTCCCCGGATTTGCCCCTCCAGCATCCCCTCCCTACTCTAACCCCTGCCTCAAGGCACCCCAACTTCTGAGGGAGGGAATGGAGGAGAAAGAGGTGTTGGGGCTGCACAAGGCCTTAGGGGAATGGTGTGTGAAGAGGGGAGAAGGTGCCGGGCTCCAGCAGTCCCAAGAAAGGCTCCAGTCTGGCCTGGGGTGGGGGTTCAGTGCCACAAAATTACAGCTCAGGAGTAATTAACACGTATAAACAAACCCGCCACTTCCTGCTAATTAATGACTTGGTATTTTTTATTTTCTCTTCCCTGTCTATCTCATTCCCTCCCAGGGAGGTGGGAAGTGGGGCTCCTGGGTCCCTGAAGAGATCCTGCTCGGGAGGGGCGTGCTGGGGCTGGGTCCACACCACACCCGGCCCCCAGCCCAGGAGAGGGGGGAGGTGCGGGGGTGGGGGTGGGGGGCTGTGGGTGGAAGAAGGGGGCAACTTGGTCTGAAGTCCAAGTCACTAACCACTTGTCTCTTCTTTTCCCCATTCCTTTCCGCTGCCCCTGCCACTTCCCTCTCCCCTCCTTCCCCTTCTCCTCTGTATTTTTCTGTCTGTCTGTCTGTCTGTCCGTCCGTCCCTCGCTCTGCCTCCCGCAGGTCGGGCCTGTCATCATCCTCTCCCACCTCCTTCCCCTTCCCCACCCCTTGCCCCCTCCATGGAGAGGAACAGAACTCTTCTCTGTCCCGTCTAACCCAGGTCCCCTCCCCCGCACGCTAGTCGATAACGTGTATACAGAGATAGCAGTAGAATGAGTTGGCGAGGGAGCAACATAAACGAGGCCTGCGAAAGGAAAAGAGATATCGAAGTCGAGTACAAGGATAATTTTAGTTGGGTGTGTTTCAGCGGCGGATACCGCTGCGCTTGTCTAACAAAGAAAAAATCAAGCGCTGAGTAGAGCGAGACGGGAACGATAGCGACGCACCGCGAGATTCTCGTAGGTAGATA